CGGGGCAGGGGTGGAGCCATACAACTTCATCTTCTAACTCCACTGCACATGTGGAACGAGTCTTCCACTTGCTGACCCACTTGCAAAGGCCTCAGTAAATGGGAAAGGTGGGGAGCCCCCATCCCCAAGAGGCAGCTGGGAGTCCACAGCCCTCGCAGCACAGGTTGGTCCAAGCCCCACTGTCAGCCCTGGAGGCCATCTTTCTCTTTGGATCTTCAGGGCTGCCACATTTAGTGCATAGGCCTGCTGTGAGAAACTGGGAGGGGGGGTTGCATGGAGTTGGTAGAGATAGATAGCCATAACATTCTTTTCTCTGGGAGTTAAGGACATTCAGCGTGCACCTAGAGAGGCATGACTGGGAAATATCTGCATTTGGGACAGTGGATTGATTGGACCATGTGATGGGCATGTGGGTGCAGGGGAAGGGACTTTGACTTTCCTTTGGGTAGGGAAAACCCAGGGGCTTTCAGATTTGGATTTTCCTAGATGTGCCAATATGACATCTCTAATAAAATGGAACTTTGAGGAATTCCCTGCCTCGGAGTTTTAATTAGTTTGGAGTGTTACTTGGAATCCTGACACCCGTGACTGCCGGGCTGACACTCCAAGAAGCAGGCCGAGGCATGCAATCCAGCCTGCCAAGTGAACTGGGCTGCTGTGCAGCCGCCTGGTCCATCCCAGCCGCGGCGGCCATGGGCAAAGACAGATTGTGGGGTTGCAGTGAGGCAGCCCAGGTGGACACCGCCAAGCTGCAGCCCCTGTGCACTCAGCCCCCTCCCTCAAACCTCATCCTCCAGCGAGCCTGCTCCCAGGCCTTCCCCTCCCAGTGCCGCTGGAGGATGAGGTTTGAGGGAGGGAGCCGAGCATGCAGGGGTTGCAGCGTGACAGCGGCGACTGACTGAACTGCCTCACTGCAACCCCACAATCTGTCTTTGCCTGTGGCCGCCGCCGCTGGAACAAACCAGGCGACTGGGCATCTGGCAGGCCGTGTGGTCACCTGGGCATCTGGCAGGCCTGATTGGGTTTCTCTGCATGCTGCTTGGAATGTCAGCCCGGCACTCACAGGACTTGGACCCACCTGCGCTGCACAGGATGCAGACTCCCAGCTGCCTTTTGGGGATGGAGGCTCCTCACCTCCACCATTCACCAGGGCCTTTGCAAGTGAGCGTGCGACAGGCTTGCTGAAGAACCAGGTTTGATGGCAGAGGCAGAGCGTGCAGGGGTTGCAGCATGATGATGGCAACTGACTGGGCTGCCTCACAACAAATCCTCTGTCTTTGTTCCTCTGGTGAATTAGGCCCCAGCACCCACCCTGGTCCTGCCCCTTTCTGCCAGAGATCCCTCTATCCCCCCTAGCCTTGCCCAATCCCCCACAGGGCTCGCCCCCCCGACACGAATGGCGTCGAGCTGTCCACACCCACCCATTGGGCCGCAACCACCTGGTCCAAGTGCAGCCACAATGCTAATGTCGCCCTCAATGAAATTGAGTTCGACACCCCTGCTCTAAATGCTCCATATTTCTGTTGTTTTAAAGGCATATATTTAGCAATAAAACATTTCTTTGTTATGCAAATTGGTCCTAGGAAATAAATAAGAGTAAAGCTATGCAATATGTACAAATCAATGATATACAGAGTGATTGCCGTTTGCTTCCCTAGCACACAATGCACTCAGTAATCATGCCCAGGTGTACCTTAGTCTTTCCACTGAAGTTAAAGTTAGGTAATACTACTCAAAAAAATGGTCTATTCCTCAGTAGGAAAGTTTAATTCAATGATACCTTTACAATTGCTATTCTGTAACTTTGCCTAATTTTGCAACTTAAAACCATCTGTTATTGCCTTTTTTTACTTCTTTTCTAAAGTTATATTACATTTATGTTCCAGTTCCTTGTCTTATTCATTTCATTGTGTTGGGATAATTTCCTTTCCTTTCAACTTCAGTTTCATACCATAAATCACTTTAGCTTAGTTCAAAGCTAGAGAGCAGGCTGTATTTCTAAAATGCAAATTATCTTTTTCATAGCAGTAATGTTACTGCTACCTCATTGTGGACAGTTGTAGTTAAATAACACTGTTCCATTATATTTGTTTGCTACCCCATTTCTCAAAGAGGTGAGAACTGCATAGAAAGTTAAAGTTGCATCTCTTCTCCCCATAAAATATGTATATGATTCCTTAGTGAAAAAAATTTCATCAGAAAAGAGACTTGCTGCTTCAACTTTTCTTTAAGTTAAAGCAAAACCTTTTTTTAAAGGTTACTGCTTGCAGTTTCATTCCAACTGACATTTAAAGAAACTTGTCTTTAAATAATGTACATATTGGGTTTAAGTCATAAAACAAAAATTTCCTAATTCTAAAAACTCCTTCCTTGATGTGGTTCATTTAAATTAAATCTGATCCTGTGAACACAGCCATGAATATCCATTATGCCTCACAGAAAGATAGACATAAGATATCAAAAAGCTGTCAAGGTATTATATTGCCTTATAAATACATTGTGAAGTAAAGCCATACATCTGTTGCTGGTTGACAAAGCAGCACTATGAGATTTAAAACACCAATAATGGCTTGGTGGTGAATGTGCCCTTGGTGGTGAATTTGCTCTTATGCAAATTAAGAATTTTAACAATGTAGGGATTAAATTTCATTTTTAGATTGACTTTAGTTAAATGAATGGATTCATAGAATAGCATCTGTTGTGGAAAATATATGGTTTGGGGCTTCTGAATATGTTCAGGAATATATATTAAGTAGCAAGATTATTTTTCCCTAAAAAAGAATGTAAAGAGGGCTTTATAAATAAAAATGTAGTAGAGCATTCCCCAGCATATTTTTCAAAAAAATACTTAATGTAAGAAAGATCTACAAAACCAATAACTGACTGAAGATAATAATGAGATTGAAGATTATAATCATAAATCTAACTATGTTATTGATGGCCTAACATGCACATTAGGACATACTGTAGATCTGGTGGTGGTTGTTTTTTTAATCTCAGGGAAGCAATGACATGATCTGAACGTGGAAGACGTTACCACCAGTGTTTTATCATATGATCAGGTGTCTGTGAGTCACAACCACTCTGTGGTTCCTTTTCAGCTTCCTGATGTTATCCTCCTCTCTAATCATTAACACATCAACCTAGAGGAGACAGTGAATTTTAGTCCTGCTTTAGGCATGAAAACCAGTTGGGTGACTTTGGGCCAATCTCTCTCTCAGCCCAACTTTCCTCACAGGGTTGTTGATGGGGGAAAATAGGAGGAAGAAGGAGTATTAGGTATGTTCACCACCTTGAAATATTTCTAAACATTTATAAAAATAATAAAGGCAGGACAAAAATAATGAAATCTGTCTGTCCACAGTAACTAATGGACCTGAATCAGTTTAAGAGAAAGCTTGGGGTGTTTCCTAATGATTTGATAAGCTTTGCCTTTGTCTGGAAAGATTTGCATTCTACAGTTGTTTGTCAATTGCAGCCATGTTTTACTTTATAGCCTTACTTGGGATATAAGAGTTTAACCCAAATTCATCCAGAAATAAAATATTCTGTAACTGGGCTACATCCCATACAAATAAAAAGCCAGTAAAATTATTATGATGTAGTACTTAGCTATAGAACAAGGGCCAGGAGACACAGGTTTTTAGTCTACTCTTATCCATTAAAACTCACATGATAAAGTCAGTCTACCCTACTTCACAAGGCTGCTTGATCTGAAGGTAAGATGAAAGGAGATTACTATATAAAATACAATGAGCTCCTGTGGGGGAGGGGTGAGTTATACATATAAATAAATAATAAGCACATGTAAAAGTTAACCTTTTGCAGTGGAATGTCTTCTTAATCATCCAGGTCATGGTTTCCCAAAGGTGCTTTTCCAAAAGGCAACTCGACTTCATTTGTTTTTTGCTTCTGAAAAGCTGCTTGGATGAGAAGCGCAACTATTTCAAAAGAAAAAACAATAAAGTCCAGTTGCCTTTTGAAAAGCACCTTTGGGATTTTTATAATAAAAGTCTGCATTTCCACCAATGCTCATGAAGACATAAATCCTATGAATTTCCTTGTAAGTATATAATCATCTGAAGGGATTATACTGTAAATGTAAATTTTATTTATATTTATCTTTTTCATTAGGCAATCCAATTATGTATAGTTGATCATGAAGTGATCAGCAAAATAATTATTGCTAGATTGGTTGAATTAGATCTACTCAAACATTAGACAGCTTCATACAGGAAGTTACATAGGACTTGAGGAGCTTTAGGAAATGGGAATTTATTTAGACTAACAGTACAGACTATTTTTTCTCATGCACTTTGGGCTATAATCTCTATCCGTTCCAGGTTATGTAAAATTTTGAAGCAACTGGCCTTAACAAGTCCCCCCATCCCCGCTCTGTAGAGCAGCAAAAGGCAAGACAGCATAAAAGGCTCCTTCATGTTTGTTGTTTCGTACATTTTTTGTACACCTGAAGAAGAAAGCTAAATGGATTATAAAAAGCAGAGAGATAAGCTTCTGGTTTTCAGCTGTGGGGTTCTACAGTTGTAGAATGTGGAGTGAATTCTCTTTCAAGGTGATTCTTGATTCTGTAAACAGCAGGCATTTGCATCTGTATCAAAGTTTAGCCTTTCCTATAGCTAACAAACCACACCTATTCTATTCTGGGATTCAAATAAAAGGAATGTCTGAGCCCTGATCAAACTCTGAATACTTTTTTTTTGTACTTCTTTACTTGTATACAAGGCTTAATTGTTTCAAATTTTATTTACCTGCTCTTAAAAAAGGCTTCAGCTTGCTGTCACTGACTCATCATCCATTTGGAATGTCATTTAAAACAAAAGCTGGATTCTTCTAAGAGGTGATTTGTTAGAAAAATGAAAATGTTCTGTAATGCAATCCTTCTTATTGTATCTGTTAACTTAAGTAGGTCTTTGGTTTTTTTCCACATAGTGTGATTTCCATATACAATAATTGTAGTTGCTTCACTTTTCTCATTCCAGAAAAAATGATCTAGCCTGCAGGCCTCATTCCTGGCATGCTACCAAATTCACTGAGAATCGGCTTGAAACAGCTGCGTCAAGATTCTCCTCCACCAATGTCTGTGCTTCATGGCCCTCTCAGTATCATTCAAGGTGAGTTCCTGTTGAAAGTTACAAGCAGCAAGCTCAAACGGTAAGAAAATAATTGCTTGTCTTATTTTATTCTTAACTTTAAACTTCCAGCAATGGGCTTATTGTATGAAGCAAATTCTACTATTAAAAAAAATCAGTAAATTATATACCTGAAAGTTATTAATTCACAATGTTTTTTCATTATGAAGAATGAAAAATAATATCTGCAAGTTTTGATGGACAGTGAGTTTTTTTCTTCCCTACAACTAGTACCAGAATGTATAATCGTTTCAAATCTGAGCAGCTATTTGTACCAAATAACTTCCTCCAGCAGCATTTGATGGAAGAAATTGAAATTGCTGTTCCGGGGTAGCTTCTTAAAATTACACATGTATATTCTTCTGTGGCATATTTTTAAAGAATAATTCTGTAATTACTTTTCTATTTACTGTGTAATTTCCTTGATGAGAAATAGGTATTGCATACCATTGCCTTTTTAATAATTAAAAAGTCCACAGTAATAATTATTTCTGTGAAAATTCTACCAGGACTTTAAAAAGAAGTACCTTAATTAAGCTATAAATCTTTTTTTTCAATCATTCATAATACTATGATTTAGTTACAATTAACACAAAAACCCTTAATTTAAAATATTCAAATTTGTAATGAATTTAGAAATAAATTTAGCATTATTGACACTATAATGCTGGCTGGTTAAATTTATATACTATTAAATAATATATTCTGTTTCCTAATTTATATTTTGACAACTATCTAAGGATGCAATCATACAGCAGTTTAGCTAGAAATAAACATCAAGGAATTCTGTAGGATTTTTTTTAAGTATATATCTATTTTTTAATGTTGTATTGCATCTTTTTCAGAAATACTATGAAATTCTTTTTGAATGAAACTAATTCATCTGGGGGTTCTGTCTGTGCTGATTTTGTAGTAAGACAGAAGCGAGAAAAAACTTAAAAACGAAGTATTAGCTGACATACTAAGAACATATCAGAACTTATCTCGAGACCGTGGTCAGTCATGCAGAGAGTTGATAGATACAATCATGGGCTTGCTATAGTCTTCACTAAAGCTTTTTTCACACTGCAAAAGTGACAATATGGTTTTAATATGCAGCTTTAATAGATAAAATATTGCTGTAGGTAATTGTAATAATGGTTTTGTGTATGTGTGTGCTATATTAATGGACGTATGTTTGTTTTATTTGTTGCAGTTCCTTTGAGCTTTCAAATTCATGGAATCAATCAAATCTACATCGTACCTTAGGCCAGTTCAGCTCTGTGGGAAGCATGGATATCTGGGATCACACACCCCAAACATATCAGTATGGACAGATTTCCTCTGCAAAGTCCAATAGCAGCATTGATCATCTGGGGAATCCCAGCAAAAGAGATTCTGCGTATGGTTCTTTTTCTACTAGCTCCAGTACACCTGATCACACACTGTCCAGTGTAGATGGTCTGTCAACAGAGAATGTGATGTATAAAGTGGGTCACTGGGAAACTCCAAAACAAGGGAATAGCAAGACTGTTTCATTTCTGAGTGATAATGGAAGATTTGAAGAAAAAGTTAACTCCTTTGCACCTCCACCACAACACGAAAACAGCCTAAATTCACGACTAGAAGACCATACTAATTCAGTCTATTCTGGGGCTGGAAGATCTAATTTTGTACCTGTATGGTATGTCCCTGAAGGAAAAAAGTCTCCTTCCCCTCCACCTCCACCACCCCCTCTCCGAAGTGATAGTTATGCTGCTACCAAAAGTCATGATAGAGATCATGCACCTCCTCTATATTCAGAGGGCATTCAGAACCCCCAGCATTTTGAAGTCCTACATAGAACACCAATCAGAAATGACTGGAGTGCTGACACTGCTAAAGAACAAAAGCAAATGATCAGATCAGTTGAGAAGACCTCACACAGAAGACAAGGAAGCAGCCCAATACAAAGACCTGATTTTATTCCAGATTATGATATCTCTTCCCCAGGTGACAGGATAAACAATAATATGGGACATGCTAAGAGGCTGCATTCTTCTCTGTCTAGTTCTGATGTTCGATTTGCCCAGTCTGTTTATGAGTCTCGGCATCATCAACATCAGCGTCAATATAGTGATGAATATAGTTTCTTTCACAATGCAAAAGCCTCTGCATCATCTAAAGAGCCAAAATGGCTCTCTTCTTATAGTGATATTAAGGAAAGGCCTTCTGATAAACATAACTGTCATCTAAACCAAACCAAGATTCCTAGTAATACTACCACTGCCGTTTCTGACATGACTTCTGAGGAAAACCCTGGACTAAATCATTATTATTGTGTAAAAGCAAGGCAGCAGCCTGTTCAGTCTGCTCAGGGAACCTCAAAATCATTACAGTTTAAAAATGAACGTAGGAATTCTGGAACAGGAAATCTTGCTGCTTCTGTGTCAAGTGAGAATCCTGCCATAACCATGAGCCAAAATCCTAAATATTCTCTACCTCAGCATCTTAATGAGTGTTCTCTGGATATATGTGAAAAGAGAGCTCATTGTGTAGTTAATAAAGGAGAGGATATTAAGGCTGTTGTACTGGAAGGTTCTAGGAAGATAAATTATTCTGAGAAATCAGGTCAGAACAAGACATTTGAAGAAAATCTCAGTAGTCATGAATATGAGGATGGGCAGGAGTATTTTCAGGTGTCTGACACCAAAATAGCCCAAAAAGATTTCAAATGGAACCAGGAGAAGAACTACCGTATTTCTCCCCAAAAGACCCCGATGTTGCATTCTTTAGCTCAGGAAGAGAAAAAGCAGATTAATGTTGCTGCCGAAATTGGGATTAATAAACAGACAGGATTTGATGTTCACCTAAGCAAAAATGCACGAAGGAGTGATCGTTTTGCTACCACACTGAGAAATGAAATTCAAATGAAGAGAGCAAAACTCCAAAAAAGCAAAAGCACAGCAGCCTTAATAGAGCCAACTGAGGAAGAGGACTATACTGAGAACTGGAAGCATGATTCTCAAGAAAAGACGGCTTCTTCATCAGAAAGTTGTTATTCTCACATGTACAAAGATAATCTGAAAGAGGCCCAAGCCAGAGTTTTGAAGGCCACTTCTTTTCAGCGTCGAGACTTGGAACCCAATTCTGCAGATTATCTTCCAGATCGAAAGACAAATATATATAATACTTCTCCATTGACTTTTGTTTCTGAAGATGAATTAGGTTTCCCTGAATTTAGGCAGTCTTCTAAAGAGATATCACTGAGTAATGGTGCTCATCATTTTTCACGTATTGGTGCTAGGAAGAGATTTACTGCAGAACAAAAGTTAAAATCTTATTCTGAACCTGAGAAAATAAATGAAGTGGGTATGTTGGATGATAACTGCCAAACACACCATCGTCCAACTACATCAGAGGAAGCTTTGGAAACTTTTGCAGATAAATGGAAGTTTTTTGAAGAGACTAGTAAACCAGTCTGTCAAAAATCTTCACAGACTGCTACTGCTCGTAGAAATTCTCATGAAATTGAATCTGGAGGATCATGGTACGAAAAAAGAATGCGGTCAGCTTCTTTCGGAGTTGAGAATGTGCTTTGTGCTTCTGATAGACCTAGTGAAACTGTACATTACAGTGGCCATATCACTAAATCAAGACAACCTCAGAGGTTAGAAACATTTGCAGAATACCAGGCTTCTTGGAAAGAGCAGAGAAAACCTATAGAAAATTGTAGTTCTGGAAAGTACCATTCAGCTGATAATATCCTTGATGCTGGCCTTGAACAACTTGAGAAATCTCAGTATAAACATGAAAGATCCAGGTCATCTCCTTCTACTGATTTTTACAAGCAGGTAAACACATTTTACAAGATTTTACTTTATTTCAAAGCAATGAAAAATAAGTGTGTATATATGTGTGTGCGCCCATGCACACATATAACTGATATAATGATAAGAGCAAAGTTCTTAAGCTTATAGTTGTATACAAAATTTCAGGCAATCCTGTTAAAGTATACACTTCAATGAGTCCTTACATGAACAGAAAACCTTTGCAGAAAAAAAGCGAAAAATGTTAAATATACTTTTCTGCAAATATGAATGCATACTTACCATAGTATTTATTTAGTTGTATACAAGTTCCAATTAAAAATTTGAAAATATGACAGATTTTGAACTATGGACACCTTTTCAGTCGGTACTTTGTATTTCGTAGTAATTAGAGCTTCCAAACAACTGTAGTCACCTTTTGGGGGGTTGGACTGATTTTTCCCTATCTCTTTTGCAGAAGTCAGAAATTTTCTTAGGCTTCCTTGCCTGCCACTGCATGTTTGAGATTTTCTCATAGATGTTCAGTAATCTTATAGTCTGAAGATAAGAGGGCTATTCCAAAACTTTTGACTTTTGTTTCATGTAATGCTTCATGAACTATCCAATCTCTTTTCAGTTTTAATTACCTTATTAACTGCTGGACATTAGTTTGAAAGCAAGAATTGTTCCACCAGAATTGGAGATTCAAAAGTGGTTAGGTCTGCAAAACAGTATTCATAGATCTCTTCAAATGACCTTCCAAAAATTTTAGCTGATATTTGTTCAACTTCCGGTAAAATATTGCTTACCGGGCAACAAAAATGCATATATGTAAAGTTATCAGAAGGAAATCTTTTCTATGGCTCTGTAATGATGTATTTGAAGAAAAAATATCTTGCCAGCTGGTAAAAAAATTGAGAGGGTTTAGTTATATTTTGTGGTTGTATGACAGACAATAGCACAGGAAATTCTGAATGGGTGAAAGGAAGAATGGATTTGGCTAAATACCAGTAAAACCTGATCTTGTTTTAAAAGGCCTTGAAGACCTGTTTCAGGATAAAGTGAATCCCCCCACCCTTTGGATTGTATGGATTTGTTTCATTTTATTCCTACCCAGATTTGTTTTCCTTGTGTTTTTGTTATGGTCATCTTTCTTATCTTTATTTCTCATTTTTCCTTCTGCATTTTTTTCTGTATTTTTCTTTATTTTTAATATTTCCATTTATTGCTGCTCGGAATAGTTTAAAATTGAACAACATATAAATTTAAAAACAAAGAAATAAATAATGTCCAGGCAGCAAAGAACTGAATCTGAAAAGAAAATGGATACTTTAGCAAGATAATGATCCAAAACATAATTTGTTTCTCACATACCTGCCAATTACAAATATCCTGCATCAGATGTGGTTAACCCCACAGTCTCTATTGTGTTGCTTTTTCTCTTAAATATATACTTAACCTTTAGCATTTATACATCAATCATTTCTTCCACCCATTGTTATTTCTTCCATAATTCAGGCCAATCTCTAGCCTTGACAGTCTCTTAATTAAGAGGGGAGTTTATTATTATTATTTTTGCTTTTAAAAAACATATTCAACCTGAAACATCTATTTAGATGTTGGGTTAATTCCTGAAGTCTTTGTATTCTACAAGGGATTCCAGCTTAAGGTCTTTGTATATGTCACCACTATATGAAAAAAAGGAAGGGAAATTTTCCCAAATCAGCTGTGAGGAGCTTTATGGATTATCTGAGAGTCATGTTGGGAACCAGACTTGGTTAAATCAGGGGTGGTATTCACTTACCTTCACTACTGGTTTGCAAATGTGAGCGTGCGCACCTCCACACATGCGCAGAGGGTCAAAAATGGGACGTGATGACGTCTGGGTGGGTGGGTGGGTGGAGCCTCCCACAGCCGGCACTACTGGATTGCGTGATCTGGATAGAACCAGCTGAATTTCACCACTGGGTTAAATCTAATATAACTATAATGTTCCATTTAAAAATGCCATGTTTATATATTAGTATTCCCGTTTAAAAACCTATTTAAAATAAGTATGGTATAACGCATTATTAGATACATGGGCTCCTTATTAGATGACACATTAATATGTGATCATATTGATGGGTATGGATGTGGAATGGAGAATTAGAGATCAGATAACAAAGAAGAAACAATTCTGTGTAAAGTTTAAGATAAGCTAAATATGCATTAATTGCAACAGTCATTGGCCATCTGGAATGGTAGCATTGTTCTATAAATAAAATTTTAAAGCAAATTTATAATATATGAAGAAGTTGATGTCTACTGCAAATTATTGTAACTTAATCATGGGGGATATAATAAAAAGGCATTTAGTAATTCCTTGGCAATGTGCTACTGTTTTAAGATGCCTGTAGATTCACACTGCAAAAACTGCTTTGCAATTTATCAATAAACAAGTGCTATTATTTTTTATGTTAGCTTTGTATACATTTATTATACACAATATGTACATGGAGAAAGAGCATTCTGATGGCATAGTCTTAATACATTGGAAATGACTCTACAAATGAACCTACTATGCTGTGAGTGAGATATTTTAAAGAAAATTGTCAGTAAACCAGAATATATTGGATAGGGCTGGGATCGTCAAAGCATATTTCCTTATGTTTACAGACCTGATCAGTTATTGTTTAATGCTGTTTCAAGTTGCTATTAGTTGTTTTCTACTTATTTGAAGGGAGATGGTGGTTTCCTGTTAGTAAAGACAAGCTTTTCATTTTCAGCACTTGTAAAAGTATGAGGAATCTATATTAGCTGGAAGCCACAGGTAAAAAGAGATAAATACTTTTTCTTCTGACTATGCCCTGCAATAAATTATTCACAAATGGGTGCCATTTCAGTTTATTTTGTCAATACCTTAGATCCAGTCAAGGTATAGATCCAGAATCTATATTTTAGATTCTGACTGTAGAGCAAGAGTATTCAACCTTGGCAATTGTAAGACTTCTGGACTTCAACTCCCATGCTGGCTGAGGAATTCTGGAAGTTGAAATCCACAAATCTTAAAGTTGCTAAAGTTGGACACCCTTGCTGTAGAGCAGGGGTGTCAAACTCAATTTCATTGAGGGCTGCATCAGGATTGTGGTTGACTTCGGGGGGCTGGTGTGGGCATGGGCATGGCGGGTGTGGCCAGCTCCCACTGCTGCTGTGCTTGCTTTCCTTGGCTAGGTTGCTCATGGTGTGTGAGGGAGGGCAAAGTGTGTGGTTATAGGGAGGCCCACTCCCTCTCCTTGTGAGGAGACCCAGCTTTGTAACCAAAGCATCCTCAGTGATAGGATGGAAGACCACCAGGAGAGGTCAGGAGGAGGGGACAAGGAGATGGCAAAAGGCAGCAAGGCTGCTGGTGGTCAAGTGTTAAGGCAGGATTTACTTCAAACCCTCACTCCCTCTCATTACAAACTCCTTCCTTCCCTTTCCCCCCTTTTTTTCCCCTTCCCTCTTCATTCTTCTTTCTTCTTCTTTCCCCTCTTTCCTTCTTTTTCTTTGTCTTTCCTGTCCTTTCTTGAATGCTCAAATGCAAAAGGGGAAACATTTCTCGATGCCTCCTCACCTTGTGATCAAATGCCACTTTTGCTAGTAGTTTGTGGCCATTTATAAACCAAGAACAAACCAGGCTCAGTTTAGCCCATGCTTGCATTTTGTGGGGGCGTCCATAGACAACAGTACAGCAAAATTGTCAAAATGATGCCTGTAGTAGCTGATCAGAGCTCCTCTGACTTTTATGTGCAAGCTGCTGGCAGCAATGGGGGTGGCAGGAGCCATCATGATTTCCCCCGCCTGACCTGCTCCCTGCTTGGCCAGCTGGCTGGCACAAATCCTTGCCATTCTGCTGAAGCAGCGGCGGGCTCCTCTGGACAGGGTTGCATTCCTGCCCCGGCACTGCAAACTCTGGCAGGCTGGACGCGGCTATGAAGGGCCTGGCCCCGCAGTGCTTCGCTCAGTTGAAGGCTTTGTTCAGCCTTCAAACAGTTAGGTTGGCACACACAAGCGAGCAACGCACCAGGGCCATGGATGGCATTGGTTCCTGTGCCTGGCCAATTCCAATTCCATGGCCAGCCTTAGTGTTTGAAGGCTGCACGAAGCCTTCAACTGAGTGAGGAAGCACTGCAGGGCCAGTCCCTTTACAATTGCGTCCGGCCCGCCGGAGTTCGCCACATTGGGGCAGGAATGAGATCCTGTCCTGCTTAGCCCACTGCCGCTTGGGCAGGGAGGATAACAATGACAAGGAGAATGGCAAGGATTTGCACCAGCTGGCTAGCCAATCAAGCAGCAAGTCAGGCGGGACTGGTTGGTGGAAGAGGAGGGAATCAGCCGCTGCCAGCAGCTTGGGTTTCTCAGATGAAGAACGGATTGCACGCTCTCTCATACACAAATACACATACACACACACACACAGAGTTTGGAGAGCCCCCCTTCTCTCTGTTTTGCTACGGCAGCTGTTGCAGCGCTTCAATGCCTGGCTGAGGGGGCGCTTTGGTAAGAAGGTGCAGTGTGTGGGGGCCAGCTCTGCACCCTCCCCCACCTTCATCCTCCACCCCGCACCACCTTGATTTGTGGCCGCCGCACCAGTGTGTTGCTCAGCCTCCTGCTAGGTTATGGCAACGAACAAGGAGAAGAAGTGGCGAAGATCGAAGTGAGGCCGGGGGGGAGGGGGAGAGGACGAAGCAAGGCAGGGGGTGCGGAGCAGGCCTTGAGTTTGAGATTATATCAACCATCTTCAGCCTAATGCTTCCAGGTGTATTAACATTTCAACTTTTATAATCCCCCGCTACTCTTTAAACTGTCTGAGAAAATATGGAACTTGAAATTGAAAACATATGGAGAGGAAAGAATTCATTGGAGGAACAATAGATAGATTAGATTAGATTAGATTAGATTAGATTAGATTAGATTAGATAAGATAGATATTTTCACAGGTTTAAATAATTATTTTTAAAGCTTCACTTTTTTGTAAAAAAAAATCTTGTTTATGTTGCATGCGAAATACATTTGAGCATCATAATCATTAGTTTTTCAGTGTCCTCATTTAAGATTTTCCCAAACAGAATTGCAAATGATTATAGTTTCTTCCTTTTAACTGGTCAGATGAAATAATAACTGGAATGAAAAGTTTGTGAAACTAAGATGTTACATCTGGTTTGAGCTAAATCAGCAGAAGGCGGGATACTTTGAGGACTTCAGGCAAATCCACAAATGAAGGGGTGTGTAATAATATGTTTAAGGAAACTGAAACTTGATGATTTGTTGCTTTACCATATTATAAAACTGTGTTTTCAGGGAACATCAACAGAAGCAAAAAGGCAAACTGAAAAATCCAGGAAAAATGAAGAGCTTATTTCCTCTGTTGCAAAATCAGATGAAAGCAGCTGCAACTTAAGGTAAACAAGGAGGTTTTTCTTCAAGTCTTAATAGCATATATTGCAGAAAATGCTTAGATATTTTCCAGGAAGAACAAAAGCTGTTGAATCTATTTTTAGTATTCCTCATTTTGTAAAACATGTGCTTCTAAAAGAAGATAAATGTTGAAAATTAAGTACATATATTCTATTTTGATACTATGGAAATATTTAAACAATTGTGTTGTTACTAATAGAGGAAATATTTAAAGTATTTGATATCTTAAATAAGCAAATAGTTTTTCTTACCAAAATTAAGCTGAATAATTTCTGTCAAAAATAATCACTCTCAAATCTATTTTTATGGCAAAGTTAAGCACATATTGGAAATCAGTGGCACTTGATATTTACATTTTCTGAGGAGTCCCGTTTTATGTAGTAGTGTATTTCAAAGTTGTTATTCCTATTGCTTGGTATGAAAGCTATTTTAAACCAGAGAATTGTGTTTGTATTTGAATAGTATATTAAATTTCTGCTGTCTAAAAACCAAAATGGAACTTTCAATCTTCTCCTTGTGGCCTGCCAGAGAAGGGGAAAGAAAAAAATAGGGTTGCACAAAGCAACATGGCTGAGATTTATTCAGCCAAATGAAGTTTCTGTGTGTTTGAACTTGCCCCCAAGTATTCTGTGTTTATGTGAACAGTGCTAGCACTGTCACTGTGTATCACATTATTTGTGTAAAGCTTAATAATCAAAGTTGACAAACAAGATAACAAACAGTGAAAGATTCCAAGAATGAATGGCCAAATTATAAGGAGGAAAAAAAATATAATTGAAGGTTCCACTGTATTACAATAAATATACAACTGCATCAGTAGTGGGTTTCAATTTTGGCTGGTACTCTGGTTTGCTCGTGCGCGCGCTCACGCACCTGTGCAATGCTTCTGCACATGCGCAGAGATGCCCGGGCGGGTGGGCGGAGCCTCTGCCACTACCAGTTCTCCCGATCCGAGGCGAACCAGTAGCAACCCACCACTGAACTGCATGGATGAAAGTAGGGTAGGATCTCACTGGCATCTCTTACGTGTATTGTAGTAGTGTTTTGTGTTTTACTGCAATAATCAATAGGCATAAGCAAGTTTTTTTTAAAGATGTGAGCATGATGCAAATGTTGTATAGCATTGTAAGTGGGAGAGAAGCAGTTATTTAAAAAATATTTATTTAAACATCTCACAATTGAATTGTGGACTCCCAACTACTGATGTGTTGTAAATATGATAAACTGTAAGAAAACACAAATTCTTAATCATTGGCTATGCTAACTGGGATTGCAGGAGTGAAATTCAAATTTTTTCCCTATCGGTTCTGTGGCTTGGTGGGCGTGGCAGGGGAAGGATACTGCAAAATCTCCATTCCCACCCCACTCCAGGGGGAAGGATATTGCAAAATCCCCATTCCCACTCTACTGTGGGGCCAGCCAGAGGTGGTATTTGCCGGTTCTCTGAACTACTCAAAATTTCTGTACCAGTTCTCCAGAACCTGTCAGAACCTGCTGAATTTCACCCTGTGGGATTGCTGAGAATAGTAGTTCAACAATATTATATTATATTAATTTATTTATTTATAAATAACAATATTTATAAACATGTTTTTCACATTCTTCACATTCAAAAGAGCATGAGCAAATAAAACGGATACTGATGGGATCCCAATATCAGATGTCATTGCAGAAACTGTCCTGGGCAAACTCTGCATTTCAAAACTAGACATCTATACTTTGGTGCCGCTACATGGACGACACATTTGTCATCATCAAAAGAAATGCACTGAAAGACTTTCCTAGACTTTCCTATACTACTGAATTCCATCTTCCGAGATATATAATTCACAATGGATGAAGAAATAGCTAGACCCATGATGGCAAACCTATGGCACGTGTGCCAGAAGTGGCACGCAGAGCCATGTCGCCTGGCACGCATGGCGTCGCCCATTCCGTTTCCGGGTTTCCAGGGCACACATGTGCACCAGCCAGCTAGTCTACTGATTATTGGTGTGCATGCATGCGCGACAATCAGCTGGCCTTAATGTCTTAGTGCGCGTACACACCGCCCATGCCGTCATCACCCACATGTAGCCCCGGGACATCCACTACTTGCCAGCCAGGAGCACTGCTGCCAGTCATTTCCCTGAGCCCAGCTGCCTGCCTGCCTCGTCATCGCCACTGTGAGGAAAGGCCCCAAAGCTGCGCTGCCGCAGGGGGAGGCCAGGTATGGCTAACTGGACACTGCCCAGAGCGCGAGGCTGGCAGGAGGAGGAGCCGCCGCTGCCTCTTAGCTAGCACGAATGGCCTGCTGCCGCAGCCTGCCACCACCCTCTCTCCCCCGTCAGATGCTCCTGCCACTGCTAGGGAAGTGGCTGTGCGAGAACCGCTGCTGATGGGGGCGAGGGGCGGTGGTGGCAAGGATGGGCAGTCCGAGGCTTCCCTGTCTCCGCCCAAGCAGGCTTCTGGCATGACCCCAGGCCTCCAGGGGAAGGGATTTAAGCCCCAGCCCGCTGCTCCTGGTGCCACCACCCTCTTGCCACCGGTAACAGCAATTCTCGCACTGCCACTTCCCCGGCAGCACCAGGAACAGGAGTTCCTGCATTTTGAAAACCTGAATGAACACCTTGAATGCATTGTCCTCATTCTCTCTCCTTGCAAAATGCCTTGAAGAAGCATTCAAGACCTTGACAAACAATATTCATACCCAGCCTCCAAAAGAGCACAAGGTGGCCAAGAAGGCTTCCAAACCTGTGTAACCTAAGACAGCGCCGGCAGAAAGAAAACTCTCACTTTACTTGTTGCTGTTGTTGCGACTACACTGCCAGCCTCGTCCCACCCTATATCCCCATCATCTGCCTATGCAGCTATGCCTATGCCTATGCCTAGGCCAGTGAAGCTGGCCTGCTGCTGCGTTTTGCTATTCAACCTCTTGGTCACCTGGTTGCCCACCTGCTTAGGGCGTGCCGGGCTGCGGTGGGTTTTTTCCCTTTCGCCCCGCGACACATGGAGAATGGGGGCAGCGGGAGCGATCTGCTTAGCCCTTTTCTGGAAGAGTTGGAAAGGCTCCAAGCGGTAGTGGTGGCATTGTTATTCCGAGGCAGGGCTGTTTGGCCCAACCAATTCTTGCTGTGTTTGTACATGGTGGGCTTTCTGGCGAGCTGGCGAGGCTGCACGGTTACCGCAGCAGCTTGTAAAGCTCAGGCTGAGCCTGTGGGCCGCCAGGTCCGGAGCCGGCAGCAGCTTCTTCCTGTCACTCGGCCCTTGTCTTGGAGTGATTTTTTCCGCATTCAGCCCTGAAGGGTAGCGGAGTCTTTCACTCTGCATGTGCTCAGAGACAGTCTGCAATCCTCTGGATCCAAGTCTTGTCATTGGAAGAAAAGCAAATTTCCGAAAGGAGCAGATTGATCAGGTGCGAGGGGTGGCGGTGGCAAGAATGGGTGGGGTGGGGCTTCCCTGTCTCCCCACCTGAGCGGGCTTCTGGTGTAGCTCCAGGCCTCCTGGGGAGAGAATGAGGGAAGCCCTGACCTGCTGCCACTGCCACTGCCTCTGCCTCGCCCCCAGCAACAGCGGTTCTCGTGCTGCCGTTTCCCTGGCAGCACCAGGAGCAGCTGGTGGGGCAGAGAGGGCTGTGGAAGGCTGCAGCAGCATGGCTTTTGCACCAGCTAAGAGGCAGAGCCTGGAGCAGCCAAGAAAAGGAGAAGCCGCTGGCAGGGGGCCAGAGGAGGACCGGAGGAGAGTGCAGCTCCTCACTCATGGAGACCCACCGGCGGGGAAGCAGTTGCAGTAAGTGGTAAGAGGCGCGCCAGCCAGTCAGCAGTCATGCTCTCTGGTGGGAGAGGGTTGCACCAACCTTTGCTGGCATGATTGGCCTGTCTGCCTTGTGCTCCGGGCAGAGTCTAGCCATGCCAGCCTCCAGTCCTACTGGGGCAGGGAACGGAAGTTGGCAAATGGGCCATTTCCGGGCTCCAGAGGGCCTCCGGGGGTGGGGTGGAGAAAGCCGTTTTTACCCTACCCAAACTCCTACAAAGGCTCTGGAGCATGGGGAAGAGCAAAAAAGGGCTTTCGGGTCCCACTGGAAGTTGGCAGATGGGCCATTTCCAGCTTCATGAGAGCCTCCGGGGGGGTGAGGAAGGCCGTTTTTGCCCTCCCCAAGCTCCTAGAAAGGCTCTGGAGCCTGGGGAGAAAGAAAAACAGGCCTACCGGGCCCACCCGGCCACTGTGTGCCAGGAGTGGGTGGAGTGGGGGGGGGTCGCATGCGCGGGGCATAGAATTATGGAATTATAGAATTATGGGTATACGCATGCACATGACTTCCCCCCCACCTTTCCCCTCTGCTCCTGGCACGCAATCGCAAAAAGGTTAGCCATCACTGACCTAGGGTGTGACAAATTTTTCAACTTTCAATTTCCAAACATTAGGGATGCTCAAACATTGTGACATGCCTTGGGATTTGTAAAGATAGTTTGGTTAATTTAATATAATTCATATGTGCTTGGTAAATAATTAATACCTTAACTTTTAACATTTTGTTTGTTTCATTTACCCTAGATCCACAATTATAATATTGTCAAGTCTTTCTCTGACGTGCACAGTATAAAAGGGAAAGGGAAAAGTAAAAAGAAACATGCTGAATTTGAACCTAGGCAATATGTAGTTGCTGTTTATTCATCAAAAATGTCTGTCAGCTTCAGTATCCAAGGGATACCATTGTCCTGAGGGTCCATGACTCCTAGACCTCAGCTTCTATTGGAAGGGCAAGTGGAGACTTTTGAATCAGGAGGAGGAGGATTTCCTTCTGTTACACGGATAGTTTATATTTTTATTATTGTGAATGTTGTCTTGTATTTCACAGACGTGTTATGATTTCAGAAGGTAAAATGTTTAATAAAGTAATTTAATAAATATGCATATTTTGATTTAGAAATTAAATGTGCAGAATCTATTTATGATTGTAGGAAAGCATTTTTATATTTAATTTGTAAGAATGTATTTACTATTA